GGAAGATTTATGTTCAACTCCCAAGACCTGCAGATTATCTCATCCACTCTGCCCTTTAATGTTGAGGGCGGATATTTGAAACAAGGCAACCCTCAGAATTACCTATGTATTACAGTAGTAATACTTGTTATGCAGGTTTGACAGTTTCATCTCTTAGAGTACCTCCTATTTTTTTTTCTTGGGGGAAGATGGAAGTAGTATCAGATGATAGCAGCATTAACAAACCATATATTCCCAAAAGATTACACATTCACCATGACATGCTTGTATCTGCAAAGCAGGAGATACAGCTATTGCAGCTCCTCCCTACATGTTATATCGTTTTAGAGAATGCATAGAGATGAAGAAGAGGGTTATATAAATTATGTATGGAAGACCACATAGGAGAAAAAGTGCTGATACTTTCTTGAATATAACTGGATCAAACTGTTAAATATATAGTATATGCCATCTCCTTTAAATATATAAACGGCATAATATATATATTTCACTTAAAACTATTTTGCTTTCCTCCAGTAGTGTCATTTTCTCTAATTGCCTGTGCCCAATAGTTTATAGATAAAACCGTCAGGAAGTATACATCAGTATCCATATGTTCACCAGCTAGCCAATGATTTGAAGTTCAAGCACTAATGGTATGCAATATTCAGAATTGAAGAGGGCAAAGGTGCTTCAAAATCAGACTGGGCATTTCTCACCATCAATAACAAGTACAGCAAATAAAGTTATGCCAACCAAAGCACCTTTGCCTTCTTCAGTTTTGCATACAGTCACCTCTCAGCTACCCTTTGTATGATTTAAGGCACAAAATTTTTAGAAGTGCCATAGCACTTATTCAAGAATCTTTATTTCAAGTGTCCTGCTCTGTGCCTTAATGATATTCCCTAATTTCTCAAACAATTAACACATGGACAAATAATTTCAAAAGCAGTGAATATGAAATTTGTCTTCTTACATTCCTCTGCATCAATTAGCAATCTGCTACCAGTTTTTCAACCAAGAGTGTACTGAGGACCTTATATGCATATGCATGTGCAGTGAAGGACTCCAATCGGGCAAAGTAGCAAGTCCTAGACAATATGCACTCAGATTTAAAAATATGGGGTTATCATCACTCTGAGTGTCACATAAATTTAAGTAACATGCTTAAATTTAGACAATATAATACAATCAATGTACAGAACTCACAAATATATATCCTGCTACAAATACTTTTCTTGAAGCTTTTCTGTCAAGCACTTTTGTAATAAAAAGGGAAAAAATAATCACCAATCAATAGGAACAAAGCTTATTATACTTTGGGGGTTCTTAAAATTGTTAGTGGCAATTTTACACTTTTGAAATAGGAGATAAGAATTTTCATTGCAGCAAAATACAAAGTATTACAAGAAATACAGCATATGTTGGGACTCCATCAGCAGGTACATCAATAAGAACTTTATAGCAAATTGAGCAGATCTTCAAAGTTGCTTCTTCCTCCAGTTCCTTGAGTGTAGTGGAACTAGACTGGTAGCACCAAGAATCTAATGCCCCCCCTCCTATTTAATAACAGTAAAAATACAAAGGCAGATTTGCAAAATAACCAGGGCAAGATGTGCATAATTCACTCAGAAGACAAATTGTCATGGCAAGTAGTTCTAACACTAACTCACACTTAAGGCAGCGATTACATTTGCAGCAGGAGTTCTGGTTCTGAAAGTGAACAGTACAGAGTATAGCCTAACTCATCTACTTCTTCAGTAGTAAGCTCTGAAAACAAGTTCACCTTGGGATTTAAAACACTCGGAAGAATTCCTTCTTCCAAATAGCCAATTAGTTTTCTCAATGCCTGAAGAAAACGGTCAGCTATTGCATTTTGTGACCAATCAGTTTCTTCTTGGGTCAGGTGTAAAATTACATTGGTAAGCTGGCTGGCAGAAAGACAACACAGAACTCGGTTCAGTTTACATACAGCCTTGAGGATCTTGAGGCACAAAGAACGGCAACCAGAGTCATCTTGGTCCAAGGCCCGCAGGCGAGCTGTCTCTGCTGGCCGAAGGCTGAGTCGCCATAGATTATCATATTGGGCCAGTCGGTGTGGCTTGGCTACCAATACAGAATCACCTAGTGTCACAGATGGTAAAAAGTCTATTAGAAGGTGCCGATCCCGTTCATACTGGACCTCCAAAGTTAGAGATTCTAAGGGTGCAACTGGACGGATCACATAATCTAGGAAGGATCCAATTGCTGGCCAGTTGATGGAGCCAGCCACTACTTTCTCAAAGGTACAACATACAGTCTTGGGTGAGAGGTAACTCCCCACTACACAGCGGTCCCAATAACTGCTACCACGAGGAAAATATTCTGGGTTTTCCCGACGTACTAGGCAGAAGCCAGGGATGTTCATAATGGTTTCTTCACCTGGAATGCATGACCATAAATTCTGTTCTAGCACAAGAGGAACAATAAGTTGGATGTGATCAGCTGTCACAACCTAGCAACAAAGAGAAATAAAGAGAGCATTAAACATCTGAGGACTGGTCCTATCAATTATCAGCTAGCTTACTTGCCACCCTCCAAATGTTTGGGTTTGAATTCTCATAATTAAAGGATATAATCCAACTAATGTGGCCACCAATTTGGGAAAAGCTAGGCCAGAAGGAAGGCTGGGAATACTAAGAACATTTCAGTTGCATTATCAGTGATGATCAATACAATATCCTCTTTAGCTATACTGAAGTCATAGAGGCAGCTACAACAAACTTACAAGATAAATAGGAATTATTTTGAATTACAATAGAAAACTAGCACATATGGACACCAAATGCTAGGCTAAAAATACTATACTATACTGAGTAAACAATTTGGAAATATATTTCACTGAATAGATGTAGAAAAGACACAGAATACAGAAATGTGGATATTGGCCCAAAAAGGGGATCTTGTTCTTACACAAGATCAGATTAGACACAAAAAAAATCTAAACATAACCCTGAGAATATGTTAGTAGGATAAACTTCTCTACCAATATTATTCTTGCTGAAGAATATTTTAAACTTTTCACCCATTCAGTTTACCTGTAAATCATCACAGAGGCTACCACTCAGATACATCTCACGGAGAGGCATGTCTGGCAATTTGGTACGGAGGAAACTGCGTAATTCGGCACAGATATCCACAGCAGCTTGCTTGGCTTTGGTCTGTTCTTCTACAGAGATAGCCACCTTTCTCCGATAATAAGCAAACAGTTTTTCTTGCAAGGACATCCGAAGGCGGGATTTCTTCAATTCCACCTGGCTTCTCTTAGCAGGTGATTTATGCTTTATAGGTTTGACTGAATCTGTTCAGGTAATACAACAGAAAAAACTCAAAAAGAGCCAGATATTTCACTGCAAATTGCTTGTATAAATTGCCTGAACTAAAATTATTCTGTTCTGAACATGTATTTTTTAACAAACAAAATAGCTTTAGGATAAGGTTTAAGGGGGAAAGAAAATTCATGGGACAATCAAGAAGCAGACATCCTTTGTTGTTAACATCAATGAACTACAAAGCCATTCTGAATACATTAAATATAGCATATAGTCAATACAATGTATATATTCTTTCTTTAGATTATTACTCACCTATTTCAAAATCTGAAGCATCTGTAGGCAGAGTCTGCAGAGAACGGCTAAGATTTGTCTTCATGTCTTGGTTCAGTAATCGTGATGATGACCCAAGCCAGCTTGGTTCCTCCCAGCTTCTCTTTCCTGACTGGCTTAAATGGGTGGGGCTGGCTGGAGCACTAATTGCTCTGTCATACATCTGCAGAGAGTGAAAGTAGAACATTGACCATATAACCTAATAAGACTTAATTTCTCTATTCCCTACTGCATTTTTCCCAACCACAATAAATCTAGGTATTTCTTTACCAACTATATTGTTTCTTTCTTTTAATCTTGTATTTTGTATTTTAAATGTTATGTCATATAGCAGGGGTTCCCAACCAAGGGTGCTCGCGCCCCCTGGGGGTGCAAGATGATATTCCAGGGGGTGCGAAAACTTGAGTTTTCAAAATTATAGTGTATATGCATAATTCATTGCCGTTATTTTGAACTTTTGCAAGGGGTGCGAGAATATATCAGAAGCATTCTAGGGGTGCGGGATATAAAAAAAGTTGGGAGCCGCCGTCATACAGTATGCCTTATTTTAATTGTAATGCTTCTGACACAAACATTTCTTACCCGTTTGACAGCCAAGGTAGCAATCCCCAGCATAGCAGCACCTCCCACTCCCAGTACAAGTCGAGCATTTGACAACACAAAATCAATAGCCGTGCCAATTCCATTGTCATCCTTCTTTCCTTTGCGCTCTCCAGAGCCTGCCATTATTCCTACATGGGGAAAAAACAAACAGTGTAATTGTCATTCAGTGCTTATTTGGTTTTAATGCCATGGACTTTTACTAAGATTAATTATTTGAAGCTAAGTTTATTTTAAATATATCACCTTAAAACATGTTTTGTAATTCTAATTTTAAAAACCATAATCCCAATGCTAGTTAACACAATATAAATCAATAACTAAAGCCAAACTCTAATCAATACTAAAAATTTCACTTTCCATAAAATTAAAATGCAGACTTTATGTAGAAAA